TCATCTTATGCAGGCTTGTTATTTTCTGACCAAAAAATTAATTATCGCGTATGTGCCAAGGATAACAAAGATACAGTCATTTTTTTCATTTTAAAAAAATTCTAAAGAGAAGGATATCGATGTGTCATAATACAATTTTGTTGATCTGATATTGAAGAGTAGACTTTAGTGGAGAAAAAAATTTAAAATTTAAATATTAATTGAAGGACTATAACAATTAATATTATGGCAAAACATGTATATGCATATAAAACAAAAACACGAAATTGTTTCAATTTAATTAATTAGTGATCTTTAGAAGTGGCAAAATGGACGGTGGTTCACAGGTTGAACCTATTAACCTGTCAACCCGATCAATTTGTTGATAATTTTTTTATAATTATTTTTATATTTTTTTAATGATATGCAGGTTGACCCACCAATTCGCTGTGGGCTAATATTAAACCCGTTTTTTATTGACGGACAAGCTCAATCCCACTCATTTTTAGCGAGTTAAAATGGGTTAGACTGACCCATTTTGACACCCTTCGTGATCTCCTTGAAAATAGTAATTATATTTAAAATTTTGAGTTACAATAGTAACTTGTAAATCAAAATAAGGATATTTTAGAATTATTGAAGACAAAATATTTAGAATGAAAAAAAAAATCTGCTTTTGGACACAACATTATTTCCCACTTGATTTGTTTGTTGAAATCTTAATCATTGTGACAAGGTTAAGTAACAAGATTGTTACTTAAAGTGACTATAGTTTGTGGAATTTGCCACATGAGAATGTGTATTGTGGTGATAGGTGAAAGTGGGAGTGCCATGAAGCTTGGAATTCCTTTTCCATTGACATGAAACTGTTGCTTATTGGACCAAATGCCAATGATGGAGGCCCAATAAAGGCGTCTGGATCGGCATTGGATTTGGTCTGACACTCTTAAAAAGACACATGTAAAATTGTCGTGTTCTTTACATGCATCTACTCCATCTTCTCACTTTCCATCTTTACACAAATTTATTATTGTCAACAAAACACAAAGGGATACAGCAAATAAAGGCCCAAAGCAAGAACCAAGCCTCCTACAACTTTATTAAGGCAGATGTTAAACACACCTCTACACTAGTATAAATACACCCCTTTTTTTAAAAAAAATATATAAAAAGTCTGAATTACCCTTAAAAAAAATAAAATTCCTAAATTTACACCTCCTTCCCCCGCACTCTCCTTCCCCGCACCCATCTTCCCCTCACCTCACACCCTCCCCGGTAACTGGCCGCATCGGCCCGGTTACCTTCGTCATCGTCGGTTCCCGCAACCAAGCCTTTTTTTTCTTTCTGAATATGCTTCAATGGCCATAAATGTTTGCACTGTATGTGGTGCGCTGAGAAGGTTCACTCCGCTTCACGCCTCCGATTGGGATTCGAAGAGAAAAGGTTTCTGCTGCAAGATGTCGACCGAGTCAACTTCCTTGACTCACTCTATCACACTTCCCAATAAATAGAATGAGCCCGTTCTCATCGTTGCTGCTCCCGGACTCTCCCATTCTGATTTCTGGTCACTCATATTATATTTTCTCCTTTAATGTAACCGTTGATTCACATTATAAACCAGAAAGTTTCACTTTTATTAAGAAAAAAATTGATTTCATAGTGATATGTGAGAAAAGCATTGATATTAGCAAATATGATCCAGGTCCTTTGTTTTTAAATTGAATCGAATTAGAAACTAACTAGAAGGTTTTAATCAGTTAGGAGCTAGATTGAAAGTTACTTCATAACATTAAGCAGAAAAAAGTTTTAGAAAGAAGGGAGGTGTGGGGTGTGGGGTGCGGGGAAGGGGGTGTGAGGTGCGGAGAAGGGAGTGCGGTAAACGGGGATGCGGGGAAGGAGGGTGTAAATTTAGAAATTTCATTTTTTTAAGGGTAATTTAGACTTTTATATATTTTTTTTTTAAAAAGGAGGTGTATTTATACGAGAGTGGAGGTGTGTTTATCATCTGCCCTTTATTAAAGTTGTAATCTGGACCATATAGGCCCAATATGACTACCCAGTCCAGCGGGAGCCCAACACTTAAGAAGTACATCAGCTTTGCCTTTGCCTAACACTTAAGAAGACCGTCTATAAATAGTTTTTTTTTTTTAAATTATTTTTGGTATTATTATTATTTTATTTAAGTTGGTCGAAAAGCCATAAACTTTCCTTTTTTATTTCAAATCTCAATTATTTATACTCCCAAACTATTTTTCCTTTCAGTTTTTTCTTTTTTTTCTTCTATATTTAAGTTGTTTATTATTTAGCTTAAAAAAGAGTCACTTATATACTTTTTTATATTTTAAAATATGTTTTGTTTAATTAACTAAATCAATTTAGTGGTGAGGAGTTTAAGTAGTTTACATGAAGTATTAAGTTTTAATTTTACAACGACAAGCGAATGTACATAAATAAAATGCTTTGTTTATTTTTAAAATTTATTTAATTTAAAATGCAGCAATATAATAATGTATAAAATATTTATAATCATTAATGTAAAATATTAGAAATATCGAAAAATGTTTTGATGTCCAACCATATTCTAAAAGATTAGTCTTTCACTTATCATATCGGAGAATGTTATAAATAAAAAAACTAAGAAATCATTGAAATTTTATATATATATATTTCCTTGTAGATTACATAACAAATAATTTTAAAGGTTGACATTCTAACAATATTATATATATTTGCTGACTTTTGAATTAAATTAATTTCCGTCTTAAAAAAAATGTCTTGTGGATTAGCATGGCATATACCATTCATATTACATCCTTAATCCATCATGGCAATCAATAATAATATAAGATCGAGTTGTCTACATTTTTTTTAAGAATAAGCGATAAATGATTTCATCATTCATTAAAATTGTCAATGTGATAATTAATAATTATAAATATATTCAAACGAATCTGAATCGTTAACGAAAATGTTAAGTATGCAATCCAAAGTAAACTTGTACGTTTTTCATCGCATTTAATTTTATAAACCGTTAAATCAAAGTATAATATCATTAGCAATGCTTTAGACCATTCTAAAACATGTTCACCAAAGTTTTTCGTTATGATTATTAATTTTAACTTTATATTAGAAATTTAAAACCATTAAAGTATTACTAGTTCAATCATTATTGCACCGGATCATTGAATCATGAAAAATTATCTTTATCAGTCCAATGAACTTGATTTTCAAAATATCATTAAAAAATATTATATACAATGAGATATAAAAATTATTATTATGAATATAATATATATATATATATATATAAATATATATCATTTCAACCCCGCATTGTATGTAGATATCTACCCGGTCTGAAGTGATCAACAGTTACAGTCAAGATACCG